TGTCTGAAGGAAGAAAGGTACTAATTATTTCTCTGTGCTTTTTGATGACGTCTCGAGTATTCGCGTAAACTCCGTCTGGTTAATTGACATGTGGATTAACGGTCGTCCCCCGATCGGGCGCGAGCCTTCCGTACCGCCCTCGTCGACGCGCCCCTTCCCCTACAACGAGGAAGGACACGTGTATGTGAGTGGGACGTACGGGAAGCTGTCGCACGCATCGGCGGACAATATTACTTCCCTCCTGAAAATCGTTGTTCCGGGTTCGTGGATGCGGGCTTTGTCATCATCGATACGCACTTTCCACCTTACTCGGTGTTGTTGCCATTTAACGAGCTGATCGTCATTCCGTAGACAACAGTGGCGCCCCATTGGCCTCGAACCCTGTGCACTGAGTGCCAACGTTTCGATCGCTACGAATCGAAGGGCTTCCACTACCGGATACGGAGTGAGGACGAGCACAAGGAAAGAGCCACGTGTCTGAGGCCATCCACGTCCGACTCGAAACTGACCAACGAGCGACGTCGGGACTTGATACGGAAATGGGATACGCGGAGTGTGCCGAAGCCCTTCCGCTCTAAACGAAGATCCGTAGCACGGTGGGAAGCTCGACAATACTTTTTGGATTGAATTTGGATTTTTCTCTTTTCGCGCCGTGCCCTCGCGCGCATTCCGCGACGCGCGAAAGCAACCGATTTACTTCATCGGACCAACACGGGGGATTTCAGTTCTGTCTGTGTCCCCACACTCAATTTTCCAAAAATCCTTGGCACACCCCGTCTTGCTGTTTTTCCTGGGCCTTCATTCCGCACCTTCAGCACTCCGAACGAAAGACAGCACAGGGCGTGAGGTTACGCGTCACATACCGGACCACAACAGCTGGAAGCGCCAGCCAAAAACTTTTCGAAACGGTACCCCGGCGCTTCGGCGAAAATCGGCGCGCAAGGGCATTCAGGCTGGGCATCGATAGCTGGGCCAAGTACTGGTGGTTTAAGTTCGATGCTTCCTGCGTGCGTGTGACGAATTTTCGCTATCTGAGTTAGTAGTCTTTATTTTGAGTATGTCGGTTGTTGTATGTGGGTTGGTTGTTGGTAGGACTGGATGCAGCCCTGAGGGAAAAAAGGATGCTCAGGAGCAGAAACTGTAATGGCCATATGCCCAACAAACACTGTGCCACAAAGATCTATCCAATGGGACGCTGGACCCGATTTCCAGCAGGTGCTGCCCTCCACCAATAGATGGAGCCTCCCCGACGGTTCTAGATGTGTCTGCTCCTATCAGCACACCTAGCATCCGATCGGGTTGATCTAAAAAAAAAAAAAAAAAAAAAAGCAAGCGAAAG